AGGGATAGAGAGTTAGAAACATGGATGAGAGAGAAACATCGATCAGCTGCCTCCTGCACACCCCCTACTGGGGATGTGCCCGCAACCAAGGTACATGCCCTTGACCGGAATCGAACCTGGGACCCTTGAGTCCGCAGGCCAATGCTCTATCCACTGAGCCAAACCGGTTAGGGCTCCACCCTCTTTCTATGCTGTCATAAATGCACTTGCATGTTCTGGCTGATGCTCTCAAGAGTATCAACAATGCCAAAAAGAGAGGCAAACATCAGGTTCTTATTAATCTGTGCTCCAGAGTCATCATCTGATTTCTAATTGTGATGATGAAGCATGTTTATGTTGGTGAATTTGAAGTTACTGATAACCACAGAGCTGGGAAAGTTGTTGTGAACCTCACAGGCAGGTTAAACTAGTGTGGCGCAATCAACCCCAGTTTGGATGTACAACTCTAAGATTTATAAAAGGGCAGAACAATTTGCTTCCATCCCGTCATATTGGTTTCATTGTACTGACACCCTCAGTAGGCATCATGGACCATAAAGAAGCAAGATGAAAACACACAGGAGGGAAAAGCCTGGGATTCTTTTTCTAGTGATGTAATGCAAATGTGCAAGTAAAATGCCTCAGTGGGGGGGGGGAAAAAAGAATTCCTGGCTGGCATTTTATTTATTTTTAAAAATATGTTATTTATTGATTTGAGAGAGAGAGAGAGAAACTTCAGTTTGTTGTTCCACTTATTTATGCATTCATTGGTTGCTTCTTGCTGTGCCCTGACTGGAGATTGAACCTGCAAACTTGGCATATTGGGATGACGCTCCAACAAGCTGAGCTACCCAGCCAAGGCTGGCTGGTATTTTCATTTCCTCTAAATACCACTCAAACAAATAGTTCAGTTTTTAAATATCACCTTTGCCTTCTTTGAGGAAATCTTGGCTAGATAATCATGTTAGGTGTAGTTTCTATTTTTCATGTTATCATAGGCAACAGTTTTGTTCTTCCATCTCCCAACAATATTTTTGTCCCTTTCCTTCAAGGCCTCAAACAGCAGGTTCATTTAAGCCCTTTAAGGCTTCCACTAAAATCCTTTTCTTGGTCCTTCCAGGTTTCACCATGGTCTCTTCAAGAGCCTTTTAGATTCTACCACTTGCTCCTAAAGGCAATGCATATTTTAGATTTTTATTATAGCAGCCCCACAATCCTAGTACTAAGATTCCGTTCCTGTTATCTGTGCTGCATTGTGAAGCACCTCCAGCTTAGTCTCCGATGATTTCTCTGGGTCAGGAATTCTAGAAGGGTTTGGCTTTGTGTTTCTGTCCCAGAGTATTTCCAGTGTTTGCAGTCATACAGGAATGAGTAGGTACACTGGAGGGGAGTGGTAAAGGAGAGAAAGGGTACAGAGAAACTATGGTGGCCCGGCATCTTTCTCTCTTCATGTAGTCTCAGAGCCTCTCCATGTGGTCTCTCCACTTGGACTAGTTTGGGCTTCCTCACATCATGGCAGCCTCTAGGGGAGTTGGACAGCACATGGCAACTGAAGGCTTCAAGGGTGAGTATTCCAGCAAGCAAGGCTTAGAAAGCTTCTTCACCTTTTCTTACTACTCTTGGAAATCACACTTTCATTTCCACTTCATTCTATTGGGTATAAGGTACTTTCACCTCTTGATGGGAAGATAGTCAAGGTGATATTATAGGTGAGCATGTAGGATGGGAGATAATATTACACTACCTTTGGAAATTAAAATCTGCAAATAGGAAACATCAAAGGAAGAACCTTGAGGTTTGCCCTGTGTGAGGCTTTCAAATCAGGAATCATCCTTGACCTCTGGGAGCTTATAGTCTAAAAGCAAAAAAAGACATAAAGACTTTTTAGTTAGGCTATTTTATTAATGTTAAATACAGTCTTATAGTTTATATTATTTAACTTGTTCAGATGTATACTGAGCAAGGCACTGAGCTTTATATCTTATATTGGGGCCTTACTACTTCTACATTAATGTCAATCATATCATTAATGGTGTCCATTTTACTCATTTACATTAATCTGAGTGTCAGCCAGATAAGTATAATTCAGACATGCATCATAAGAATCCTGGTTAATACTCTGTAGGGACTAGGATGTATGATATTACATGTAGAAGTTGTATAGATTATTCACTCTAGCTCTTGAAATGTAGCTATTTCATCACTGCTCAAAATGACATTTTTAAAAAGTGGTTCCATAGTCTTATTTTTTGGTTTATTTAGCTTAACTCTTTAGCTTAACTTCAATGAGCTTAATATTTTTTAATCTGAGGACAGTTTTGCCCCCTTCAGGGGACATTTGGCAATATGTGGAGATATTTTCAGTTATCACAACTCAGGGGGAGGTAGTGGAGACCAGGGATGCTGCTAAGCATCTTAGAATGTACAGGACAGCCCCCACCAAGAATTATCTGGCACAAAGTGTCTAGTCCTGGACTAGATGACCATTAAGATCTTGTTCTACTCAAAGGATTGTGATTGATTAATTTTTGCTGGTTGTCATAATAAGGAATAAACAAATACTTAGACTATAGGACAATATAGTGCCAGGCATTTGCCCTTACGCCAAGGGTGATGGTGCAAAGTTGTGATTTTTTTTAATCTGCCATAAGTTTGATAAATAATAGTCTATGAACTTTACAAATTTATGGCCTTTCAAATTTTCTTTTCCCACCCCAATTTTTTATTGTAATTATTTTTTAACGGCTGAATCAGTGATTGGTTTTAGGGTAATTCTGTCACTTGAATGAATTGAAGACTAGGTGAGAATTGTCAGTGCAAAGAGGTTAGGAAGAAAAACTTTAATAAGCTGTATGTTGGAAAACCACATTAACCAAATATGTTTATTTATGTGATTCAAATATACTATACTGGCTGTGATAGTCAATATTGATTTAATTACAAATTTCTTGTATCTTTTTGTTGTTTTTTAGAAAATTGTATAATCTCTTATCTAAAAGCAGTATGTCTTCCTTTTTTCCAGCAAGTGCTGTCTATCTTTAGGAACTATTTTTGTCCAAATACAGCCTTTTGAGGCTCACTAATTCTTTTCATGTTTAATGGAGGTTTTGTAATTGCTTTCTTGCATGAACTAGTTTTTCTTTACATAGTCCATGCTACCTCATTTTATTTTTTTCAATATTCTCAATTCAGGATATCTTTCTAAATGTATTAAATGTGTCATCAGAATTGCTTAGCTAATTATGTTACTGTTTTAATTCCTCCTTACCCCCTCATTTCTAATGTTCTAATTTCCCCCCATTTCTAAAGTTCCTGATTTTGGGACTCTAAATTACATATAATGCTAATCCTTGTTGTGGGACTATAAATTGAGGGATTTTTTTTTTTTTGGTATTTCTTCACAAATTATTTTTCTATTTATCAGAGATTAGGAATTTTTGGTGTGTGTTTTGTTTTGAAAAGTTCTTTCTTCCCTACTTATCATTGATAATTATTGTATAGATGTTACTGCTCGGGTTAATGTTATGATATCAATGACTTATAGTAAGCCATGATATTTAAAATGATAGGTTTAATGATTAGGGCCCTTTGCCCTTTTAAAAAGAAACAAATAAAACAGTATCTCACTTCCTTATTTCTATAAGGATGGATCTTGGGGATTTGGGAAGGTGAGTAAATATTTCAAAAAGTTTTCAGCATGAGTCATTGATTTCATAGCACAGCAAGATGATCAAGAATGGTATTTGTCAGTGTTAAAGAGAAAGTTATTTAAAGATCTATATATAGAAAGTTGACTAAATGGCAAACGAATATTTCTGTATAATGTAATATAGAATGTTATGAATTCATAGGAAATCTTAGTAAAATGTAGTTTAAGGAACAAAAAGCAAGGGAATTCTAATTGAATCCATTATTATTATATGTAGAAAACTTGACCTTTTAAAGCATTGAATTTCCTTTGAAAATTAATTTCATGTATCAACAGAACTTTAGGTAGTAGTAAATTCATTTGCTGCTGCTTAAAATTTGTTTTTTTACACTTTGGATTTATGAAATAATCTTCCAAGATACAGAAATATTCTTATTGCTTGCTGGTTGGTACACTTATTGAATTACATATTATGATTTTACTGTTAATGTCTCAATTTACAAACTGGTACCATGGGTGGTGATGAGATTTTTTTTTCTAATCTATGCAGAATATGAATCTGTCATTTTCTTATAATACAGGATGATGAAAACAATAACTCGTCTTCACAAAGCTATGATGTTTCTTGAGTATTTCACAAGTAATTCTTGGGTTTGGAATACTGACAACGTCAATATGTTAATGAATCAACTAAATCCTGAAGATAAAAAGGCAAGTATTTTCTGTTTTATATTAGAAAATAATTAGACAGCCATGAGCAACCTAAGAAATAATTGGATATTTTTCACAATCATTATGCAACAAGAAAGTCATTGATTTATTTATAGTCTCATTAAAAGCTTCAATCATAACTGTTGGTGATGAAATAAAATTGCTCTACCTTAGAATTTATAAGGTATTTAGATGTGGCAGTATGATTTGGATTTACAGTATGATTGCAATGTTCATTCTTTTTTTTTTCTTTTAATGTCAGGTTGAAAGAGAACTTTAGCTTCTTTATGCATTTCCCCCCCAAAACACTTAGTTTTCTTTGAATTTTAAGAAAAACCTTCCCTCAGAAATTGTTTTTCACATACTCTTTTACTTTTTATCATTCCAAACACATTTCTCCCTCTCTGTTAATTTGAAACTTTAACTCTTCATGTGTATTCTTTTTGAGGTTACCTTAGATATTTTAATGTGTATACCTAACAAAGTCTAAATTAAGCAATTTCTATAGCCTCTTCCTTAGTGAGTATATTCAGGACCTTACTAAAATGTTTTATCTGAGATCTTTCTTTTTAGCTTCCTTTCTCTTCCACTTCTTTAAGCATTTTTTTAAATGCCTTATTTAACTCGGTATATCCAAAACAATATATAATTTGAACAAAAATTTAAAGATTACTTAAAATTTTTAAATTATATAAAGGATAGTTTACTTCGTATTTTTCATACTGAGCCTTCGAAAGCCAGTGTGCATTTTACACTTCACAGCAATTCAGGCTAGCCATATTTCACATGTCCATGAGGTGCATGTGGCTTCTTGTGGCTACCATATTGGATAGTGCAGATTTAGTCTATTCTGCTGGTTCGGCATGACAGGTTCTCACGTGTGCTATCTCTCTGCCCACTTCTGTGTGTGCTAGGTTGACTTCTTTTTCACCCTTGCTCTGAGGATACAGCTTTTTGGATTCTTACGTTTTTGCAGGAATATTCTATAGGACTCCTTAGTTTATGGGGCCATAGGCTTTAGAGCCAGTCTTCTTCTCTTCAAAGCAGAAGGTCTAAGTCACTAGGGTCCTGCAGATTGGCTCAAGTTGAAAGATTTATGGCTTCTGCTGATTCCATACTCCCCGCCCCCCTTGCCTTCCCACCTTACACTATACATTCCAATACACAACGTATAATGCTGAATGGATTATTAGAAAATGAGCACTCAGGTGAAGAAATAGAAATTACCCCCAGAAGATTCCCCTTATAATCTCTCCCAATCACTACCTCCTCTCTCCTAATCTATTGTGAATTTTTACACTGTTAGTGTTACGCATTTTTAACTTTACACAAATTATATATTTTTTCATTCTTTTGTTGATAGACATTTGAGTTATTTTCAGTTTTTGGTTATTGGGAGTAATGCTTCTATGAACCACGTGCACACAATTGTGTAGGATATATAGCTGAATCAAAGGGTATTCATATGTTCAATTTAGTAGATAATGCCAGTTTTCCAAAGTGGTTGTATTAATTTACCTCCCAAGTGACAGTTATGAGAATTCCTATTAATCCACATCTTCTCCAACATTTGGCATTTAAAATTTTAATTTTAGCCACTTTGGTGGTGTGTAGTGGTATCTCAGTGCATTTCATATTACATAAAAAGCTTATGTAGACATGCCAAAAATGTCAATAATCCTATTGAAAAATGGGCTAGAGAGATGAACAGTTTATAGAAAAAATAATTCTTAAATTTTTTTTAGCCATATGAAAAGATAAACTCATTCATAAAAATGAAAATACAAATTAAAACTAGACTGAGATATTTACTCCTTAGCAGATTTGCAAAAAATGCAAACTATCAACATACTCTGGTGAAGCCTTGGGCAAATGGGCGTTTTCCTACATTGCTGTTAGAAATGTATATCTTTTTCCATCCTTTTATTTTCAACTTTTCTGTATTCTTATCTCTCAGTTATTTCTCTTATAAATAGCAGATGAATTTTTTTTAGTCTGACAATTTTTTACCTTTAATTGGAAGATTTAATCCATAATGTAATTTCTGGTAATTTTGAATTTAAATCTGACTCAGTGCTTACAATTTGTCCCACCTGTTTTAAGTTTTTTTGCTTTTTTTGAGGTTATTTTTATAGTTGTGTATTTTCCCACTTGTATTAGTAACATACAAATATATTAATTTTTATGCTGTTTTCGTAGGTTACTCTAGAGATTACAGCATCTTTCCCTAATTTATCAATGTCTAATATAATATTGATAATTCCAGCTTTTCTTGGAAAATGCGAGGACTAACACCTATCTGCTATTGCTTTTACATATATTAATTGTGTATGTGTTATATGCCTCATAACCATTATTATTAGTGTAGCCTATGCAATAAGTATTCATTATTCTCATTGCAGTCTATGCAATAAGTATTCATATATAGATTTATCAACGTAATTGTTTTTTTCTTTCTTTTTCCATCTCAGATGTCAATCTGGAATCATTTTCATTATGCCTAAAGAGTGCCTTTCAGTATAATTTTTCTAGTGTGGGTTGTCCAAGGATGTCAGATTGTCTCAGTTTTTATTCTTCTGGGAAGATATTTACTTTTCAAAGATATTTGTGCTGGTGTAGAATTCTGTGTCAGCAGTTTTCTTTGAGCACTTGGAAAACATCTCATAGTGTTGGCTTCCCATTTTCTTTTGAGAAATCAACTGTCTTTCTCTTTTACTTTCAACAGTTTTACTCTGACATGCTTAGATGTGTGTATGTGCATATAGTATATTGTGAGTTTTGAACCTGTGCCTTGATGTCTGATTATTTTTTTGAAAATTTCCAGCCAGTCTTTGGTTCCATCCTTTTTCACTCTTCTGTGGGAATCTAATTACGCTTTTGTAACAATTTATTTATGGTAGCTTTTTGGGGCGGGAGGCGGGTGTTCAAATAAGTGATGGTATATAGTGAATAGTCTGTTTATCCAAATGTATGGAGCACTGAGTAGTGCATGGCCCTCTCATTTTGTTATGAAATACCATTTTTATAAGGTTGTTTATTCTAGATTTGCCTACTCTTTTCATCAAGATGGCCAAATTACTGTTGTTTAAACTCCTAAACCAGCTCTCATAACATTCTTTTTCCTGATGTCAGTAATATTCTCTAAGAAAATTAATCTATATGGTATGCAGGATATTCAAGAAGAGAGACGCTGTAGATACAAACTGGAAATAAACAAATATACATATAAATATATGTGAGGAATACATAAATCTATTTGGATAATGGGATTTTGTCTTTTTTGGGGTGGGGGGATGTTGCAGGCATCTCTTCACACTTGATACACTCTTTAAATGCTAGCCTGAGTTTTCAGATTATCGTCTCAAATGTTTCTGTGTTTAAGGGAAGGTATGGAATAGGAATAAGAACTTTTTGTGAATAGCAGTAAGATTTTAAAAGTTAATACTGTAAGCATTTTGTAATCATGTCATTTGGAATTAGCCTTTAGAAAAACTATGAATTTTTGACTAGTTGTGAAAAAAATTAAGAAAGTAACCAGTAATTTTTTTGTTTATGTAGACCTTTAATATTGATGTAAGGCAGTTACATTGGGCAGAGTACATAGAGAATTACTGCATGGGCACTAAGAAATATGTTTTGAATGAAGAAATGTCTGGCCTCCCTGCAGCTAGAAAACATCTGAACAAGTAAGTTTTACATGGGTTTGATTTCCTTTTGTCTTCTTTATTACAGTGGTGCTTTGTTTTTTTACAGTGGTGGTTTTTTTTGTTTTTTTATAAGCTGGTATATTGAATGGAAGATATTGCTAATAATCTATCGTATTTAGGAAAAGTTCTTACCTTTGGACTGGAACTTTGGTAGTATTGATTTAGCCTAATATTGTTGAAACTTGATATCTTCGTCTATTTACTCTTCCTATGTGTAGGTGTAATTTAGTTTTTTGTTGTTGTTGTTTAATATATTTTTATTGATTTCAGAGAGAAAGGTAGAGAGAGAGATAGAAACATCAAAGATGAGAGAGAATCATTGATTGGCTGCCTCCTGCATGCCCCCCACTGGGGATTAAACCCGCAACCTGGGCATGTGCCCTTGGCTGGAAGTGAGCCCAGGACCTTTGAGTCCACAGGCTGATACTCTATCCACTGAGCAAAACCACCTAAGGCTGGTGTAATTTAGTTTTAAAAATCGCTATTATCATTCATTATATTGCTATTGAAGAAGTAAATATATTAGGAGAAAATAAAAATATATTTTAAACTGGAGGTAATTTATTTATTTTATGTTTTTTTTCACCCTACTCTATCTTTGGAAGAGGAAAATAGATATACTGATACATCATTTAACATGGAATTTTTGTTTGTTTATAAAAGAGCTATAATTATTCCCCTTAGTCTTTTATAAAGTAACTAGAGGCCCAGTGCACGACATTTCGTGCACTGAGTTGGGGGTGGGGATCCCTCAGTCCGGCCAGCACCCTCTTGCAGTCTGGGACCCCTTGGGGGATATCTGACTGCCTCGGAGGTGGGCTGCGCTCACCTGCCGTGAGCCCAGCTTCTGGCTGAGCGACGCTCCCCCTGTTGGAGTGCACTGACCACCAGGGGGCAGCTCCTACGTTGAGCGTCTGCCTCCTGGTGGTCAGTGAATGTCATAGCAACCAGTCATTCTGCTGTTCAGTCAATTTGCATATTAGCCTTTTATTATAAGATTGTTTAAAAAACTGCCCTAACCGGTTTGGCTCAGTGGATAGAGCGTCGGCCTGCGGACTCAAGGGTCCCAGGTTCGATTCCAGTCAAGGGCATGTACCTTGGTTGCGGGCACATACCCAGTAGGGAGTGTGCAGGAGGCAGCTGAATCGATGTTTCTCTCTCATGGATGTTTCTAACTCTCTATCCCTCTCCCTTCCTCTCTGTAAAAAATCAATAAAATATATTTTAAAAAAAATAAAAAAATAAAACCATACACACAGAAAATAGAAGAGGAAAAATCACTGTTAATCCATCATTCAGAAATGCAGTTAAAAGTTTAATAGCGGTCTGTTTTATTAGTAGTTTAGTGAATACCATTTTTAAAAAAATAAATCTTTATTGTTCAGATTATTACAGTTGTTCCTCTTCTTTCCTCCCATAGCTCCCTTCCACCCGCTTCCCACCCCACCCCATGCCCTTACCTCCCCACTGTCCTCGTACATAGGTGTACGATTTTTGTTCAGTCTCTTCCCTCACCTCCCAACCCCCCTCCCCCCTGAGAATTGTGAGTCCACTCCCTTTCTATGCCCCTGATTCTATTCCATTCACCAGTTTATTCTGTTCATCAGATTTTTTATTCACTTGAGTTTTAGATTCACTTGTTGATAGATATGTATTTGTTGTCACTTTGTTGTTCATAATTTTTATCTTTACCTTT